TGCCTTTTCTCATGTGTTCCTTATGAACATAAGAAGACACATATCTTGCTGTGATGCTGTCATGATGAGGTTCAAACTATGACCAGGTGAGGAAGTTTAGGCTTACATGTTGTCTCTTACGCACTGCCAAACTCGCGTAATATACACCAGAAACATTGTTGTGGCCAGAAACGACAATGTATAAATAATTATTATAATAATAATAATGTGAATGTCCGACGTAATTTGACGCAATGTGAATCAATGTGATTTGAGGCAAAATTTATGCCGTAGAGTTGTCACGAAGCAGAATATGCACTGGTCCCTTGATGTTACAGGCGTAGTCGGCTGGGGTTATTGAATTGCATCAGCTGTAGAAAATAGTTACAGGTTAGCCTACCATTACTTCCGTTTTTGTAATTTTTCAATGTGATCGCGATAATTTAAATCCAATATTTAATGATATAATTCTAGGGCATGTGGCTGGTATTTGCATGAATACTCAAGGTGCATCAACGTTTTTCTCATCTTTCCCAACTGTGGTAGTTGCATAAAGAGCTTAAACACGACAGCCACATAGAATCGCCACTCCAGAAGGAGGCAGGTTGACTGTTCGCCAAACGACCGCGTTAGACAGCAGATTGGTAAGTCGGGGACTAAATTGTGTGTGAGGAAAGCGGAATGTGTTGTCAGTGCCAAGTAGCGATTCTTGCACATCCATTTGTAGTTATCTAAGCACTTATTATATATGATGCTAGTAGTTATATATGATGTATATTTATTTATTGTGTTATAGTTCTATTATATGTTTCTGGATCGCAAGCTTGAGAGTTAACTTGATGCAACGTATAAGCAGAGAAAATCAATACGTTTGCCTAAAATGGATCCTTGCTAGGCTAACATATCTTTGAGTGCGTTCCCACTCTGCATGGATCCATAAAGTATAATATCGATATTAATACAACTAGAGCACTCGGAGAGCGCAGGACCTCCGCCAAGGCACGCTCAATTCTCTCTGACTGTGGAACAATGTTTTTATTAAATATAATTAAATAATTAATTGGATCCGATTCACCCCCGCTAAGAATGTAAGTCATTATAAGTTTCCCCGCATTTCTGACGCTATCCCTGAAAATTTAATATAATTACATTGGGATTGGATCACACCAAAAAATTTTTCCCTTTTAAAGACAATCCAAAATTTTCCCGAGAAAAGTTTTTAAAAAAAGCCCGCCCAGCCACCCATATTTCTGACCCACTTCCTGAAAACTTTTATGACAATCTGTCCACAACAAACAACGGCACAAAACCAACCGTGCGCAACCCAACCCGCCAGACCCTGCACAAACAACGAAACACACGCCTTGTGAAGAAACATAACCTCCTGCCAACCCCTTGGCGGAGGTAATAATGTAATAATTATACTAGAACTAGCTGATCATATTCATCTGCACTTCCAACGTCTTAGAACTGATTAAGCAACAAGCCCTCAATTGAATATCGTCTGCTGTGGTATGCAGCGTCATCGACCAGGGGTCCGTTATCAGAAACATTGTAAATAGTTGTGACTATCACGAGTCTAAACTAATCATAATTTTTGCACTTCACTTCGCTTGTAGATTTATTATATCCTAACTATTTATGATGTTTCTGACAATGAGGCCTAAGATTCTGCTGGTCATCTGAACCCCTTTACGTGGGACCACCTTCCTAAATAGCCCACTGCATCAACCTATGACGCACCACAAATACGACAGTGAAAAAGTAATTGAATCTAACATTACACAACAATAACGGCGACGATAACAACTTTGGGAGCAACTCTAGTTGTTGACGTCAAGCAGTGAAGGATGCGGGTGACAGCGACGACGACAGTATTCTTGCTAAACCATACCATCTTCTAAAGCAGCGCTGTCCTGTGGCACGTGCGTCTCACGCAGGGTCGGGCGGCGGTGATGAACAACAGCCAACAGCAGTGCGAGATGGTTGGCAAGGTGGTGGGCAGGAACGTGGGCCGGCACACACAGCCGCTCAAGGTACACGTCATGCACCACAGCATCGTCGCGCACCAGAACTTCGCCCTGCGGGTGCTCGGCTGGATCACACAGCTCATCGCAAACTCAGGTATGTGTCACCGTAGACTCGGGCACGTGTCACCGTAGATTAGGGTACGTGTCACCGTAGACTCGGGCACGTGTCACCGTAAACTGCCACGTGTCACCGTAGACTCCGGTACGTGTCACCGTAGACTCGGGTACGTGTCACCGTAAACTCGGGCCCGAGTCACCGTAGACTCGGGTATGTGTCACCGTAGACTCGGGTACGTGTCACCGTAAACTCGGGCACGTGTCACCGTAGACTTGGGCACGTGTCACCGTAGACTTGGGTACATGTGACCGTAGACTCGGGCACGTGTCACCGTAGACTCGGGTACGTGTGACCGTAGACTCGGGTACGTGTCACCGTAAACTCGGGCACGTACGGTCACCCGGTAGAACCTTGGGTACGTGTGACCCGTAGACTTGGGCACGTGTCACCGTAGATTCGGGCACCGTGTCAACCGTAGACTCGGGCACGAGTGTCACCGTAGATCGTCCGGGTTACCCGTGTCACCGTAGACTCGGGTACCGTGTCACCGTCGACTTGGTACGTGTCACCGGTAGATCCAGGCAGTACGCTGTGCACGGTAGACTTCGGGTATCGGTGTCACCGGGAGACTCGGACAAGTTAGACTGACGTTAAGGTGTCAGTCGATACGCATTTTAGGTATGGTGTCAGTCATAGAATTAGGGCTATTGTGTCGCTTATAGATTCAGGTACATTTTGACCGTATATTCGCTGGTATACGTGTTTGCAGATCGCATAAACCTGGATGCTAAACTCAGGTCAATATATGTGCTTTAAATATTTTCTATGACATGCATGGACTTCCATGTCTTCATAGTTGTGTGCCATCACCATGCTCTTGTGTCTGTTATCGTAGTTGTTGTTGCTGTAGGGGGTGGGAGTGTTGACTGTTGTTGCTGTGTTAGCGTCTCTGACGTAGTCGGGTGGCAGCTTGTAGAATCAGCATGAGTTTCGTTTTCGTCTCCGGTACCCACATCACGGGAGCGCCGGGGTAGCCGTCCGGCCGTGCCGTGCGTAGCAGTCCATGCCGTCCGGTCAACAGTTGGGCACAAATCTTGAACCGCTCACGGTACGGTCACTATTTCGGGACGTGGGGGGTGAATCGCGAAACCGAGTTGGGATGTTCTGAAGCTGAGGGGTCAAATGGTCAAGGTTACAGAGGTGTAAGAGGAAGGGGGAACATTCTCCTCGCTTAAGCTTAAGGTATAGGGAGGAAATGCAGGAAGTGTTCGCGGCACAAATCTAAACGGCTTCGACCTATGGCTCATGATAGTCGGTGTATAGGCAATCCATGGCTAGGAAAAGCCATCACTGTGCTCGGAAATTGGAGGGTCAAGGTCAAAAGGTCAATGGGGGCAACAGGGCGAAGATTGTGTTGAGGAGCATTCTTCTGAGAGCATAAGGATTGAAAAACTTTATTTGTTTCAGCGGTGACCTAATGGCCACGTCTTATTATGGCTTTTATTGAGAAGGAGCCGCACGAATGAAATGAGTACTTTCCACTGACAGTGCGAAGATGTGAAGTGTTCGGAATAACTCGTTTGTTGACCCTCGAGAGGAGGGTTAAACCAATTGAATTTGTTGACTGGTTAACAAACGACTGACACTGCTTTTTGCTATTATTAGAGCCCATACCTGTGTGAGATGGTGAGGCTACAGTTGCACAGTTTAATTGGCAAAGGCCCGACAAATGTTTGCTTGCAACAAGGTTTACGCTTCGTTTAAATCATATTATTTTCTAAAGCATCTGTCCTTATACGCACCCCTGAAGGCTGAGATCAGGAGTGCTCCTGTGGTAGTGCAAAAGACACGGGAGCCGCGCATTGGCTGGCGACGCTCTAATCATTAATTGGTTGCTGCCAACCTGCAATGCACAATGTGTCTGGCAAAAGCAATAGAGAATTAAGGTGGGTGGAAAGTGTAGCTGATATACTTCTGTTACAGAATGTTGGCGATACGAAAGTCAACAAGAACTAAAGAAGACTTATGTATAAGACGCTCTTGCCTATCCACAAATGAATTTATCCCGCAGGACACACCAGACACCCAGATCCGCAAACCCCCCCCCCCGCTGTCACACTGCGGCAATTTGTTGTGATGTTGTCTGTTGTTTGCATCGGTAGTAGTTGTTGGAATCGTAGTTGTTTTTGAAT